CCGTCCCCGCGGCTCTGTTTGCCCTCGGCCGGCAGCTCCACAGCGTACCCTTTTCGCAGCCCCGCGCAGGCGGGATGATGGGGGGAAGAAAGGGTTGGCAGCAGGATGTGTGCCAGCTCCCTGCCTGCTCCGAGAACGGCTCAGCCAAGCTCAGGCTGCTCTAGCCAGCTCCTTGCCTTCTCCAGAGAGCGGGAGCAAGCCCCAGCTCAAACAATACAGAAAAACAGGCAAGGAAAATTAAAAAAAAAAAAAAAAAAAAAAAAAAAAACGAGACAGAGAGACTTTTGTTTCCCAGGTCCCACACCCTGTTTGTTGGCTGCGCTGGGACGGGGAAGGAGCACAGCGAGGGTGCATTTGCAGCACACCCGGTCTGGGATGGCGTGCAAGAGGCCTGCAAGCTGCACAGAGCGAGTGCCCAGGTTGCAGGGGCTGGTCCTGACAGGACAAAACTCTCCTGCCTGCTCCCAGGGCAACCGCCGCACACAAACACAAGTCGAGTACCCACTGTCTCATGGGTGACCCAAAGCAACGGGTCCCCAGAAATCCAGATTAAGACCATGCACCCCATCTTGAGGTATCCCCCTCTAGTTGCACCTTCCTTGTCCCAAGGACAGATCACACCCGTCCAGAGCCAGCAGGCACCCATCACTCAGATCAGGCCTGAAATATGCACGCGACGCCTGACTTGATCTTTGTTGTATGGAAGCTGGCTGAGGACGGCGCAGCGAGGGACCTCGGCCAGAATCAGCTTTGCACGGATCAGGCTGTTTGAGGCACCTGACAGACCTTGCCCCTTGAGCTCTGGCAGCAGCTTTTTTCTTGGGAGAGGCGCTGAGATGAGGACAGTGCGAGTGGCAGGTACCGAACCCCAGCGCTATTGATAACTGACCCATCAGCTGCATTTCCAGGAACCTCATCTCCCGCTGCTGCCCAGCTGAGAAGCCCATCGCTGCAACTCTTCAAGACTTCTGGGAGAGGGAGATGACTCAGAGCCATGTTGCAATGCAAGATCCAGAGTTTTTCTACAAGCTGCCTCCAGCTACGTTTCAGGGACACTATTATACCTTCAGCACCTCGCACGCAGGCTCTCCTTTCCCAGCAATGCCAGGGGGACACACAGTAAACAGATTTGCTGCTGCAACAGTCCTACCAACTGCTGACGGCATGCTGGGAGACTGCCAAATGGTCAGTTCCCTATCAGGAGGCTGATGAGTTGCCCTAATTAGGGGACACCAGCACCTCAACTGGCCTTTGTAAGGCTTTAGCAATTGATAGTGGGTGGGAGAAATACCCCAAGACTGACCTGGGCCCATGTGGCTCAGGACCCCGTCCAACGGCTGCAGCACACCAGAGTTTAGCTCTGTATTGCGCTCAGCAGCTGGATGGTCTCAGTTCTTAGTCAATGGGATCTCAACCACTTGTCAAGCCCTGAGCTCACCGTTTTATGCCAAGCCCGAAGTGACTGAATCACACGCTCCAGAGTACGACTGGGATGCACACACGGCCATGTGGCACTGCGAAAGCACAAGGCAACGCCTTGCCTTCAGACAGCTGATACAGAGCACTGCCAAAAACGTGTGCTACCCTGTGGCTGGGTGCAAACCCAAGTTCCTGCACGGCACAGTCTGCTTAAGGGATAAGGCTCACATTGGGGGATCTTGCAAATGCGTATCTGTGACCTGCTAATACATCTCCCTGCAATGACTGGGCTGTCACCTCCCTGGGTGAGTCATGCAAGAACAGTGGGCAGGGTCAAGAAGGATGCGTAGAAAAAAGCTTTTAATCAGCGCTGATGACATCCCAGCAGCAGAGGAGGCTGTGTATCTGTCTGACAGCAGGAGGGCAGGCAAGACCAGTTCCGTCTCAGAGGGAACAGTCCCATGCGCACAAGCAGTCCCAGGCTGACGCACTGAGACACGCTCCTCTCGTCACAGCACAGAGGTCTGGATGGGACCTCTCCTCTAAGTCATCTTCTGCATCCCCAGACACCCTGTGGAGGGTGTCAGAGCCAGGCAGGGGTAGGAACTGTTCAGACAACTGAATTCTGCCCCAAGAGCCCCCAAATGCTTTCTTAGTCATCCAGGAGACTCAGGTGCTACATCGGTGCCCCTCTCCTAAAGGCTGCTTTGAAATGAACAGCATCTCAAGCCATGCAGACCCTGCAGAACTGGAGTCCCTCCTGTGTCAGCTGGCAACCCACAGCCGGACATGGAGAGTCCTAGAGAGAGAGATTCTGGTTTCTAGGGCTCTTTGCCCCCACAGCCATCACCCCAGTGCCAAGTACCACCAAGAGGCTCCACGCCGCACTGGCGGTGCTAGCCCAAACCAAGATGTAAAACCATACTCCCTATCTGCATCATCCACGACGGACACCCTCACACGCAAATGCCATCCTCGGAGCACACCCATACCCCAGGTGCTGAGCAGATCCATCAGGCACTGCCTTCCGATTGAGCTCCTTGCCCGTTGCACCCTTCCCTGCTGGTACCTGCTGACTGGCAGTACTGCCGTTCAGCTGATGGCACAGGGCTGGTACCACAGAGCCACGTGAGGACATGGCACGCTCAGTAGCCACACAGCTGCACACATCAAAGGAGAAATCCCAGACAAGGCAGCAAAAACCCCACCGAACCCCAAGAGACATGGAGCAAGGTGCTCCCCGCTGCCGTAAGCTGCCCTGTGTGACATTCCACACCGGGGAGGAAAAGCTCCGTGGTTTTTCGCCAGCAGCAGCACAGCTTTGTGCCAATTCCAGTTCTGCTCAGGGTACTGTCACCTGCCTCTGCGACAGCCACCCGCATCAGTTAAGTGACATTTCTGTCCCTGCTGCACAAGGCATGTCCGGACCTCACCTCTGCGGGACAGCCGGGTATCTGCGTCCGTGTCCACGAAGAGCTTCATGCGGAAGAGATCCCGCACCTCCTGGCTGTAAAAGGCCAGGATGCCTTCGAAGAGCACCACGTCGGCAGGGTACACTGTCACCGTCTCCTCTTTCCTACCAGAGGGAAGGAGAGTCAAAATATGCTGGTGGGGGGAAACAAGCCAAGGGCGGGGGGGAACAGCAGTGCTCCTAGGCACTGCTCCAACCCTGGGACATCACTGCTGCACCAGGGGAATGACTGAGGAGAGGGCAGACCTACCCCACCATGGTGAAGGGAATCCAAGGCATACGTACGCTTCCTAGAAGGACAAAGTGCAGAGCAGGAAGCAGACTAGCCCTTCTCCCCCCACCTCGGCCAGCTGTTGCTTGCAAGTGTTAGGTGCCAAGCCATAAAGCCCAGAAAGCCTGTGCGTGGGCCTTGACCCACGAGAACCTGCAAGGGCCAGCTCTGCTCCCCTGGGCACCAGGCAGCATTCCCCTGACACCACAGCGCTTTTGTGGGAAACGGAGCGGGGTCACACCATCCGCGACCAACACAGGCACGCAAAAACAAGCTAAACACATGCAAGGGAAGAGCTACAGGAGCAAGAACTGTCCTGCTCCTTTCACGGCAGTGCCGTACTGTTTGAGCCTGGAAAACTTGTTAAAGCTGCAAACACAGAGTTTGTGGGGAAAGAAAGTGTGGATGGGGGGAAAAAAGGGGGCCATAACCCCCCTCCACTGATGCCTGCGTGTTGCTGGATGCAACTGCACGGCTGCGCAGCTTTCCAGACCCTCAGACTGTGCCTGTATCTGCTCTGGATCCTCTAACCAAGGGGTTTGGAGTAGTAGTTAGCATTGAAACTTTTGGTTGGCACAAAGAGCGGGCACAAGCGGAGGGGCAGGCGGTTTGGGCCAGCAAGGCTGCATGCTGCGCCGCAGGGCGTTAGCAGAGGCACAGCAAGGCAGGGGCAGCTGTTAGACCTGGAGTGGGAGACAAAGTCATAGACAGGAATCTGGACCGTCTTCCCTTCTGTGATCTCTTTGAGCGTTTTCACGATCAGCTCGTTGTCAAAGGCATCTGAGGAAAGAGGAAATGTTACCCGAGGCAGCTTTGCAACCTCTCCCGCCCACCAGACGTTGAGCTTAGCCTAGCCAGAGCCACTGGCACCTCGCAACAGGGACAGACGGACGCACGGACTCGGGAGGAAAGCCCTGCACATCCCCATGGGCGTAGCAAGGTCCAGAGCCCCTGGGGCTTCACTGCTTTACGCCAGCCTGCGATCTGGCCTGCAGAGATCAATACCACCCTTGTACGGTGGCCCTGACAGCTCGGGAAGGCATCTCCTCCGGGGCTCCAGCCCTCGGAGAGACTGGAACAGTGTTTCAGCCTCGAGTCGCTGGACAGACAGGCCTCTGTGTGCTCGGTGCTCGCTGCCTCCAGCCATTGTCCTCGTGGGGACGAAGGGACAGCGACTCTGGAATTTCTCCACCAAGCCCGGAGATGGTTCAAAGAGCCCCTGTTGTAGCAACAGGGCACGGCCCCCTCGGCGGAGGGGTTTGCAGAGCAGCGACATGGAGCTGCTGGCTCCAGGGGGATGTGCCAGGCCAGATCTCCCTGGTACCGACCCAGCTGCACCAGAAAGGCTTTCAAACTGGGGGACATCCTAAGGAGCTTGAGGGTTCATAACCTGCCCTTTCTCATCCCAAACACTCCACCCCAGAGGCAGTTTCTTTCCCAAGGGAGACAGAGGTCATACTGCAGGGGACACAGATGGCCCCCAGCCACCCTGCCAGGGATGCACCCGGCTCCAGAAGAGCTTAACTGAGCCACTCAACTCCTGCTCCATGCAGACACAGAGTCCCAGTGTCCATGCAGGGCTCTTTGCTGGTGGAGCAGGGGGTCCCGCTCCAGCCCTCGCCCCAGTGCTGTTCTCCATTCACCTGGGTGGTCAAAATTGAACTGGCCTTTGAGCGCTTTGGATTTCTGCTCTGAGGTGAGGACCCGGTAGAAGCTGTCTTGACTCACGATCACCACTTGCTTCTGGCGGTAGTCCACCTCATTCTGGCCCAGCAGCTGGACAATCTTGGAGCATACTGAGGACTGTGAAAGGAACAGCAAAGGAGCAAGTCAGCAGCACGTGGTGTCTGAGCCGCACAGGGAGGATGTCCCCAGCTAATAGCCGCTCCTGGGCGCATGGGGCACTGCTTGCTGGACCTCCAGCCGAGAGTTTGTGGTCCCCTCAAAGGCACAACCCAAAGCCACTGAGGCAAAAGTGCTCTGGGGCATCACCATGGGGTCCTTCAGCGTGAACGCAGCACCAAGCTTGCTCCCTGCCTCCCTCTCCTCCATCCCTATGGCCTGCCCACAGCTCCTATGCTGGGCACAAACCAGTTGGCTGCTGCCTGCGTTCAGCTGCACCCCCAGGGTCCCCACGGCCAGCTCCAGCCTGCCCAGCAGCTCCCCAGGGAGCAGAGCTGTGTGTGGCACCAGGGCTGAGCCTCCTCCGCGGGGAGGCAGCCTCAGTGCCTCGGCTCCCCCAGCCCTGCCCCAGCCCAGAAATTCCAGCACTGCATGGGCAGGGAGGGAGAGAGTCCTCAGAGTGGGAGAACCAGGTTGTTTTCATACCCTAAATAAAGCCCAGGATGAAAAGACACCAGGAGGATAGCTCAGGGACTTTATCAGGGATTTCTGCCGCAGCTGCCAGGGCTGGGAGGAGTAGCCGCGAGCATATCCTGGTGCCTCTTGGCACAGCGAGGCTAAGGGCACTGCGGAGCCAGCGGCTGAAGAGCCACGTGGCTCTGACTGCCAGTGCGAGGTCCCCACGAGCTGGCAGAGGGTCCGGCACCTCACGCATCGCGTGGAAGGGGCTAGGTACCAGCGGTCGGCATCGACCGCAGCAGGCACCAGCTGCGTGGCTGAGGGTCACACCGGACCCCGTCATCACGACACGAATCAGAGCACAGCCTGGGGGACAAATCCCAAAGCCTGCTTCAGTTCCTTCTCCTTAGTCATAGGAGTCCTTGGCCGCTGCGCAACACAATGGTGTTAACTGCATCACTAACTGGCAGCCGGCACGCCTGCCCTGGCCAGCGAGAGCCAAGGTCAGGCCGGCGGCTGAGTGCTCTGTTGTCTGCGGGAGCCCTGCGCGTCAGCCCCGCTCCTGCCCCGCGGCATCCACGTGCTCCTGGTGCCAAACTGAGCTGCTTCACCTCCTACGAATCACGTTTACTGCAGATGCCCAGTTGAGCTGCTCCTGGCCTCGGTTACCACAAGTACTCTCCGCTGAGTGCTCTGCTTTGCAAAAAGAGGTTTGCTTGCCCCAGCCTGTGGTCTTTCCACGCTTCCACCTCCCCACTGGCTCAACCATATGGTCCATACCTGGCTGGCAACCTCCAGATGCAGAGCTGAAAACAGCAGTGGTGAGAAGGAACAGGGAGGAGAAGGCATGCCTGGCAGAGGAGGTCACCCAGCAGGCAGAGGGCAAGGCTGTTTGCCTGAGAAGCTGGAAGATTTGACGGCATTCCCGTCCCCAGAGACCGTCTCTTCCCCTCCAGGCCAGGCTGACCTGACTTGGCTGTGACCGCTGCGCTGTGAGTCAGCCCCAGCCCGGCTGGAGAGCCTCCGCACACAGCACTGCTGCAGAGCGAACCGGCTCGGGCTGCCCGACAGCAGTCCTTGCAGCCCTGGGCACAAGTTTGGGTTTATGGGTCAGGGATGGGGTCTCCCTGAGCATCCCACCTTCTTCTCCTGCCTCTCACGGCCGGCGAGCTGTGCTTCCCG